CCTAGACGCCAAAATTGGGCCATTCCCATTGAAATGCACATTTTAAAAAATTCAGCTTTGGATCTTCCCGATGCTCCCCGACGGCCCAAGAGGCTCCCAAACCCGCTCCCAGACGGCCCCAGAAGCCTCGCAGAGGGTCCCCCACAGACCCCTAGAGGGCCCAAGATGGGCCAACAGGCGTCCAAGACGGCCCAAGAGGGCTCCGAAAACGGCCCCAAGAGCGTTCCAGGAGCGTTCCGAGTTGCTTCCCCGAAGCTCCACATGGTCCCAGACGGTCCAAGAGCGATCAGAAACATCGACGACGACCTCCCGACGGCTCACGAGGCCTCCCCAGACGCCCCCACAGGCATCCAAGATTCCCCCCAAGAGGCCCTCTAGACGCAAAAAATCGTTTGTTTCCTTCGTAAAACGTATATTTTTCACACGTGCGCCTTTGAGGATGACCCCCGCTCCTGCACGGCCCCAGAGCCCCCCAAACCCGCTCCCAGACGGTCCAAGACGCCTCCAAGAGGGTCCGTACATAGCCCTCGAGGGCCCCAAGACGCGCAAACACACGTCCAAGACGGCCCAGAAGGGCTCCGAAAACGGCTCCGAGAGCGCTCCAGGAGCGGTCCGCGTGGCCTCGAAGAGAGCTCCACATGGTCCTCGACCGTCCAAGGGCGATCACAAACATCGACGACGGCCTCCAAGCGGCTGAAGAGGCCCCCAAGACGGCCCAAGAGGCATCCACAATGCGCCCACAGAGGGCCTCTAGACGCAAAAAACCGCCCGTTCCCTTTGTAAAACGTATTTTTTTTCTCACACGTGCGCCTTTCGGGGTGCCCCCCGCTCCTGGACGGTCCCAGAGCCCCCCAAACCCGCTCCCAGACGGCCCAAGACGCCTCCAAGAGTGTTCCCCATATAGCCCGAGAGGGCCCCAAGACGGGCCAACAGACGTCCAAGACGGCCCAAAAGGGCTCCGAAAACGGCCCCGACAGCGCTCCAGGAGCGCCCCGAGTGGCCTCGAAGAGAGCTCCACATGGTCCCCGACGGTCCAAGAGCGATCAACAACACTGGCGACGACCTCCAGACGGCTACAGAGGCCCTCGAGACGCCCCAAGAGGCATCCACGATGCGCCACAAGAGGGCCTCTAGACGCACAAAAACGCCGGCTCCCTTCGTAAAACCTATATATTTCTCGCACGTGTGCCTTTTGGGGTGTTCCCCGCTCCTGGGCGGCCCCAGAGCCCCCCAAGACCGCGCCAAGACGGTCCAAGAAGCCTCCACGAGGGCCCCGCGACAGCCCAAGAGGGCGCCAAGACGGGTCTCAAGAGGGGCAGAGGACGGCCCAAGAGAGCCCCGAAGACAACGCGCGCGACTCGCGGTCAGATTCCTCGCAACTTGCGTCGCTTCCCGCCGTGCTCGTCACTTGCTTCCGCAGGGCGTTTCGGCGGGTCTCTGACCATGGCCTGAAACGATCGAAGGTCACCCCACGGCCGCCCCTGACGGTTCCAAAAGACACCGCAAAGCAGTTCTGAGGTCACCAAGGGCATACCACAGTCCTCGGCAACAGATGGCGACGGCCAAGACGGCCGAAAAGAACGCCCAGAGCGCCCCATGACAGCCCAAGAGAGGCCGATGACAGCCCAAGAGAGCCCCAAGACAGCCCAATACTGCCACAGGACGGCCTAAGGGGCCCCAAGACAACCCAAGAATGCCCCAAGAATGGCCCAGGGGCCTCAGACCACCCAAAGAGGCGACCAGACCACTGCGCGATTATTCATAAGGGGTCGGCGGATGTGGCGCAAGCCTGAAGAATCAGATGGTACACATCATCCTTAACATTATCCTGGACAACCTAAACGATATCACAAACAACCGCCTGGCCAATACCCTAACCAATATCTGACGCAAAATCCTAAACCGTACCACCGACCATATACCGAACAATGTTGCAAACAGTACGTCTCTCTCGGTTTAAGTGCATGTAGCGCTTGTATCGTCAAGGTTTAAGTGGGTGCATCTCCAAGGCTCAAATGAGGTTGAAGTGCGTGTAGCATGTGTGCCTGTAGGGTTTTAAGTGCGTGTAGGGCTGTTGCCTTTCTGGTTGAAGTGCAGGTAACGTCTGTCTATGTCAGGTTAAGTGCAGGTCACGTCTGTCTCTCTAAGGTTTAAGTGCGTGTAGCGCTGGTGTCTCCAAGGTTTAAATGCGGGTAGCGTCTGTCTCTCTAAGGTTGGATTGCGTGTAGCGCTTGTCTCTCTGAAATTCCAGTGTGCGTCGAGCTGGCCTTTTAGGTTTAAGTGAGGGTATCGCCTGCCTATATAGCGTTCAGGTGCGGCTAGCGTCTGTCTCTCTAAGGTTGAAGTGCGTGTGGCGCTTGTGTCTCTGAGACTGTGCGTGCAGCCTTCGTGTCTCCAGGATGCCAGTGCGCAACTGTGTGGGTGTAAACGGCACTGTGAGCGCCGCGCGCACGGCCCGCCGGCAAGTGGCCCACTTCACAAGCCAGGTCCGCCGGGAACCGGCCCGTTCTCGCGGCAAATGGTCCGGTTTACCGGGGAGCGGATTTTCTTCGGAGGAGAGGAGCGGGGGGGGCGGCACAAGCTATGCGCGCTCGCGCCATATCTGACATCCTACCCCTCCCTCCCATCCCTTCCCATGGCGATGGTTTTGCCGCTGTTCGCCGACGCGTGTCATGGCGGACCTGGAATTCCGAAAAGGACCCCATCGTGCTACGCATGAGCAGTCGGAAAAAAGGGAACTGCGTACACTGGAGGAGGAGGTGGCGGATGAGCCGGAGGAAAAGGAGGAGGAAACAGGAGGGGGACAACGAGGACGAACAGCAGCAACAGCAGCAGCTGGAGTGGAAAGAGCAGAAGGAACAGGAGGACCAGGGTAAGGCGGAGGAGCGGAAACGAGAGGGGCGACAACGATGAGAAAGGACTCGGACCAAGAAACTTGGCCCGCGCTTGGGCGAGAGTGCCGGTCTGAACGACGGGAGTAAAGCGCCGATCCTAAAATGAGGCCCACGCTGCAGCGGCAGCACCATTTTGAAAGACAATGTTTGATTTCCTGTGTGCAAAACAGTACGCGGATGGAGGGCGGGGGACAACACAGGGGAGAGAGGAGAGTAGAATGTGAAGGGGGAGGAGAGAAGGAGGGGAGGGGGGAGGGGGGGAGAGGCGCCGAGGGAGGAGGAGGAGAAATAGGAAGAAGAGGAGGAGGAGGAGAGGGGGAGGAGGAGTGGGAGAGGTGAGGGGGGGAAGAAATAGTATAACGACGACGACGACGACGACGACGACGACGAACAGGGGAGGATGAGGGGGGGAAGGAGGACGAGGAGGGGGAGGGGGGGAGAAAAGGGAAGAGAAGTAGGATAGGGGAGGAGGACGGAGGAGGAGGAGGAGGAGGAGGAGGACAAGGGAGGAAGGGACGAGCTCGAAGAGGCCCCAAGAAGCCGGAGACGACAAAAATAGTCACAGAGTCACGTATTTGCACGACTTTCGCATACTCGCCTGTGCGATCTTGAGAGTGCCTATGACGGCTTAATCGGAATACATTACAATAAGATGAGAAGGAACAGCCGCAGCAGCGGAGGGAGGACAAGCGATTAGCGAGGAGAGGCAAGTTCATGACTAAAGCTCAAAACCCTCTTATTACCAGTCCTCTCTCCCACCCCCAATTCACCTTCCCCCCTCCTCATCATCATCACCATCATCAGCAGCAGCATCGTCATCATCAGAAACAGCAGAATTGAAATAATCATCTTCACAGTTCCCATCATCATCAAACAGCTAATGATCGTCGGTGATACTCGTCCTACTCATCCTGATCCTCATCGTCCTACTCATCATCATGATAATAATGCTGTTCCTCATATTCCTCTTTGTACTGATTGCCTCCGATCTCCACGCTTTTTCTCTCGCTACCCTCATCCTGCTCATCATGATCACCACCACCACCATCATCATCATCACCACCACCACAATCCCCCTCCTCCTCGTCCTCGTCCTCCTCCTCCTCCTCCTCCTCCTCATCATGATCATCATCGTCTCCATCAGAGTAAACATCCACACCATCAGCAGCAGTATCATCACCATCATCATCAAAAGCATCATCAGCATCACCATCATCATCAGCAGCAGCATCATCATAATCCGTATCAGCATCAGCATCAGCATCAGCATCTGCATCATCAGCAGCATCATCAGCATCATCAGAATCAGCATCATCATCATCGTCATCGTCATCATCATCATCATCATCATCATCATCATCATCAACATCATCATCATCCCCATCATCATCGTCATCATCATAGTCATCATCATCACCATCATCACCATCATCATCATCGTCGTCATCCCCACCATCATACTCATCCTCATCCTCATCAAACGCAGCATCATCGTCAGCCTAGTCGTCGGCATCATCATCAGCAGCATGATCATCATCATCATAATCATCATCATCATCATCATCATCATCATCATCATCATCATCATCATCATCATCATCACGACCAGCATCTGTATCATCATCAGCATCATCAGCATCATAATAATCAGCATCATCATCAGCAGCAGCATCATCACCATAATCACCACCACCATCACCACCACCACCATCATCAGCATCATCAGAATCATCATCACCAGCACCACCATAAGCAGCAGCACCACCACCACCATCACCATCATCATCATCATCACCACCACCATCATCATCATCATCATTATCATCCCCATCATTATCATCATCCCCATCATCCCCATCATCATCACCATCATCATCATCATCTTCATCATCACAACCATTAACATCATGAGAATCAGCATCATGATAATATTCACAATCATCATTATCATCATAATCATCATCATCATCATCATCATCATCATCATCATCATCATCATCATCATCATCATCATCATCATCGACAGTATATCGTCCTCCTGCTCCTCCTTTCCCCGTAGACGAGGAGAGGGAGGAGGGCCCGAAAGGAAGCCGGCGGAGGGACGGCCTGATTTGGCCACCAGGTCCACGGAGCCGCTCAGCACGACCTCCCGCGGCCGCCCAGAGGCCGCGCGCCCTCGGGGGCGACACCCTCCCTCCTCGAGCATCGTTCGACCGATCCCTATCTTCACCGGCGTGGCCTGGACCCCGCGGGCCGACTTGCCCCCCCAGATGGGGATATGGGCTGTCGCCTTCGGATCTCGAGGGGCACATCCCCAAGTGGGGCGGTGGGATATGGGGGATGGGGACGGGGATGGGGGTGGGGATCGGGATCGGTGGAGCGATACTGACTCCTGCCTCCCCCGGATCTCCCTCCCCCTACGGTCGGGCACTTTCTCTGAACCCAGTAGCGTGTCGCGGCGGCGGCAGCCCTGGCGACACGCTATGCCCTGCGAGCGAAAGCGAGTCTACATCTATATATCTATATACACACATACATACATCCATCCATACATACATACATACATACATACATACATACATTCATACATACATACATGCATACATACATCCATACATACATACATACATGCATACATACATACATACATACATACATACATACATACACACATACGTACATGCATACATGCATACATGCATGCATGCATGCATGCATACATACATACATACATACATACATACATACATACATACATACATACATGCATGCATACATGCATACATGCATACATGCATACATGCATGCATGCATACATGCGTACATGCATACATGCATACATGCATACATGCATACATGCATACATGCATACATACATACATACATACATACATACATACATACATACATACATACATACATAAATACAGAGAGGCAGGCAGGCAGGCAGACAGACAGACAGACAGACAGACATACAGACATACAGACATACAGACATACAGACATACAGACATACAGACATACAGACATACAGACATACATGCATGCATGCATGCATACATACATACATACATGCATGCATGCATACATACATATATACATACATACCTATAAGAATATCTCTCTATCTCTCTGCATCCCAGTCTCTCTACCGCTACAGATATGAATAATAGTTCCTCTGCCGTGGAAGTCCTCCTTCCTCCAGCGGAGGACGAACAGAGCAGCAGCAAGAGACGCTGAATGAGGAGGGGGCGGGAGGAGGGAGGAGTGAGGAGGGACGCGCGAGAGATGGAAAGGAGGCAGAGGAGGCAGAGGAGGGAGGGGTTGATGAGGGGTAGCGAGAGCGGGGGTAGGAGGAAGGGGGGGAGAAACGACAACGGAGATAGGAAGAGGGGGAGGCGGGAGAGGATAGAGACTCCGCGTGCGAATGGGGGGACGAAGAGAGGGGGGGAAGAGGGAAGCAGGAGAATCTCTGTCCGTCTTTCGTCTCACCCCCAGCGCCCCCCCCTCCCACCTGTCCTCCCCTGCACCTCTATCTCTCCTCCTCCTCCTCCTCCTCCTCCTCCCTCTCTCCTCCTCCTCCTCATCATCATCATCATCATCATCATCATCATCATCATCATCATCATCATCATCATCATCATCATCATCATCATCATCATCATCATCATCATCATCATCATCATCATCATCATCATCCTCTTCCTCCTCCTCCTCCTCCTCTTCCTCCTCCTCCTCCTCCTACTCCTCCTCCTTTTCCTTATAAAGAACTTCTCCCTGTCGCACCCCGAAGCCAGTTTTTAGGGCGGGCCGGGCGTTACGCCTGAGACTTCCTCACCATGTATGACCCCGAAGCTTCAAAAATGGCAGCAGCCTCACATATGGAGGGCGGGTGGTTTTCCAAATGTGGCTCTCGCCCCAGCGCCGCGCGCATTCGTTTTCTAAATTTGCAAACTGTTCACGGATTGAGGGAGACCAGTTTTCAAAATGCGGTTAGCGCCGCGCACATGCGTTTCAAACAATACCAAGAGCTTCACGGATTAAGGGCGGTTCCTTTTCAAAATGTGGCTCTCGCCTTAGCGCCGCGCACGTTGGTGTTTTGTTTAATTTACAAGAGTTTCACGGATTCCCAGAATCAGCGTGCCAGAAACGGTGTTTTGGAAGGATTCAGGATTATGAGGGTGCAACAGTTACATTGATTCGCGGAGTTGAAGTCCCAGGAGTGACGTTATGGCACGATTCAGGATCGTCAAGACGCAACAGTCAAGTTGATGCGTGGCTTTGGAATCCCGAGAACAATGTTTTGGCATGCTTCAGGGTCTTCAATCGGTTGTCTTCCAACGAGGCAGTTCCGTCGGTGGAAATGAACCGTTGCAGGGGCCTGCGAAGAGGGAGCTTGGAGGGAAGGTTCATTCCAACATCGTTGATGACTCTTGGGTTTACACTGGTTCCTCCTCCTCCTCCTCCTCCTCCTCCTCCTCCTCCTCCTCCTCCTCCTCCTCCTCCTCCTCCTCCTCCTCTCCCTCCTCCTCCTCCTCATCCTCCCTCTCCCCCATTCCTCCCTCTCTCCCTTCGTGTCCCTCTCACTTGTTCTCGCCAGGGGCAACGAGAGAGGGGGAGGGGGTGGCGGGGGAGCTCCAGAAATTTGTGTCGCAACATCCACATGATGCGACGCTGGCACGTTTTAGCTCGCGCGTGTGCCGTTCACATCACAAGCCAAGTGACAAGAGATCGCGAAGTGGATCCGCCACCCCAATCGACAGGGATGCAGCGCACTTGCACCTCGGGCCGTAGACCTCCTGCCCCGGACCCGCGGACGATCATAGCCCGCGTCGTCTCTCCGAGCTTGCTGATGGTGTCGCCGCGCGCGTAGGGGCTCTCGGTGAGGGTGCTGGCGACAGAGTTCAGGAAGTCCTGGGACATGGGGAGGAGGAGGAGGAGGAGGAGGAGGAGGAGGAGGAGGAGGAGGAGGAGGAGGAGGAGGAGGAGGAGGAGGGGTGAAGGAGGAGGAGGGGGAGGGAGGGGAGGAGCGGGAGGGGGAGGAGAAGGAGGGAGGCAAGAAGACGAGGAAGAGGAAGAGGAGGGGAATGCAAAAAAAGGGGACGCACGCAGCAACAGCAGCCGGAGCAGCAGGAGGGAGAGCGCAACAGCAGCAGCAGCAGCAACAGGGCGCGGGCGGCAGAGGCTGGGTGGTCAAAGGCCTGCGACAAAAAGGCACGCTGATCGCGGGAAGGAGGAGGAGGAGGAGGGAAGGAAGCACTTTCAACACACAAGCCTAACCAGCGCTTCCAATCGTGCTCCCGGCTGTTGCGGGACGGGCGCTGTGCAGGGACATGCGTCACTGAGTGAGCCAGTCAGGGGAGGAGCGGTAACGCCGCGGCAGGGGGAGAGCGGCAACGCCGCGGCGAATGGCACGCAAGGGGATCGGGGCGAAGGGTCACTCCATAAGGGAAGCACGTCCCGAGAAAAGCACCACGCACCACAACAACGACGACGCCGACGGGGGCGCGTCTGCGCGCGAGAGGGACAGCGCCCCGCGCCCGCAGGACACCCGACGGGGCTCACGACACCCAAGGGGGCGCGCACTTCGAGGGGGGAAGGGCGAGGGGAAACGGGGACGGGCAGGGCATTCCTGGACACTGCTGATGACCAGAGCGGCAACAATGATCGGCGTTCCCGGGCAGCAGGCGAGAGGACTTGGAGGGCTGCCGGCCTGCGACAGATGCCGTTGCCTCCGGCTAGAGGAGGCCGAGGCGAGCCCCTCCTGATCTTCGGGAGGTTCTCCAGCCTCTTCTGGGAAGGGGGAAGGGGGCACGGATACAATAAAGGCCGTGGGTCCGCCCTTGCCGTTTTCCCACAAGCACTACAAACATGCAAGCCGTACGTTGTCCAAAAGTTCACGTGTGAAGAAGACACAAAAATTAACCCACCCACCAAGGATGGGGGAGGGAGGAAGGGAGGGAAGGGCGAGCTTCGAGGAGGGAAAAGGGAGTCAGACACATTCACAACAGGGGTGCTGTTCACTATCATTCCCCATGTGTCTGCATTTGCCGTAGAACATTGCATCTAGTGCTGTGCAACGCGTGCTCTTCCTGAATTTGCATGCCGCCGCGATTTCAGCGCAGTGCTGACAAGGCCCTGGAGGCCGACACGACGACGCGCACATGGAAATACACACAGAACGGGGAGCGCCATGCGGGGTAGGTGCGAGGGGGATGGGAGGGGAAGGTTCGAGGGGATTCTTAAAATGAAGGGGGAAGCTAAGGAAAATCCAGCTCAACATCGCGGCAATCTGATCTTAGGCTTACAAACAACGGCCGCTGAGTTGCAAATCCAAACGGTGCATGCTGAAGGCTCACTTAAAGTCCCAGTCCACCACGGCTGCCTCTAGATTCACCGGTGCACATGTATATATACACACATACACTTCAGTATACAACTATACACAAACACACACACACGTTCGCAAGCGTGGACCACAATCGGTGCGTTAATTGCAACCTTAATGTGGAATATGTGTGGTTCTGTGTATGGTGCATTTTACAAGGACAACCCATGTGGAGAAAAAGACGGTACGGAAACTTGGTAATCCCTATTATGGGTGTACACTATGTGGCGCAATATACTATACGCTTATACATACAAATACATATATACATATACATATATATACATATATAAATAATATATATATATATATTATATATATATATATAATATATATATATATATATATATATATATATATACGCATGTGCAAATATTAGACTATGTGTGTATATATATGTGTGTATATATTTACAAATATGTGTGTATGTGTCTATATCTGTACATATATAAATAGATGTACTAGAACCATCGCGCGCGCTGCGCGCGCGCTCAGGTTCTAGCCCAGGCCGGGGGGGCGCTGGACGACCTTGGACAACGCTATCAAGCACAGGCGCGCGACGGCATCTGAGGAGCTTCTGGGGTGCTCCGCATGCTTCGTCAACTGGCTGTTGGAGGCACCTCTTGGGTGCCTCTTGGGGGGGCGTCTGAGGGTCCCTTGGGGGCATCGGTTCTGCAATCTGAAGCCGTCATTGGCCGTCTTGGCTGCGTTGAGGCCCGAGTTGAGGCCACCTGCGGCCAGATTGAGGCAATCTGGAAGCCTCCCGGGGGCCTCCTGGAAGCAGTTTTGACGCATCGAGGGCACTCTTGGGCTATTTTCAAACCACTTGGACGTCTCCTAGGGGCCTTTTGGGCCCTCGGGAAGCTTTTGGGGTCCTCGTCGGACCACTTGTGGGCCTCTTACGGCCTCCTGTGGGCCTTTTGGGGGGAACGCTCTGCTGTTGGGTCGCGATCCCCTTCTTGGGCCTCTCTTGGGGCTCTTGGGGCCCTCTCGGGTCGTCTTGGGCGCCTCAAGCACCGTCTTGGGGCCCTCGCGGGCCGTCTTGGGGCCCTCTTGGAGGCCTCTTCCTCTATATGGGAGCGGCATTGGAAGCCTCTTGGGCCGTCTTGGAGCATCGGGATGCCAAAAGGCCGAAAAAATTAAAACCCGGCAAAGCCCAATCGTAAAACACTGAGTTGTGCCTCTTGGGGCCACCTTGGGAGATCTCTTGAAACCTCGTCGGCCCTCTTGGGAGCTTCTTGGGGGCCTCTTGGATCCGATTGGGGGCCTCTTGGGACTTCCCGAAAACCTCTCGGGGTAGAAAGCTCGGATTCTCAGCGTGTTCCGGAAGGCTCCCGCTAAAACATGCTGTGCACAAGTGCTGTCACTGCTCCCGCCACCTTGGGAGATCTCTTGAAACCTCAGAGCTTCTTGGGGGCCTCTTGGATCCGATTGGCCTCTTGGGGAAAACCTCTCGGGGTAGAAAGCTCGGTCAGCGTGTTCCGGAAGGCTCCCGTGCTGTGCACAAGTGCTGTCACTGGCCACCGTGCCCTGGGTGGTGGGTCAGAGGCCTCATCTCGTGGTTGGCCTGTCGGGGACGTCGTGAAGGCAGTTTCGCAGCTTCTCGGTAGCCGTTTTGGGACCGTTGTGGGGCCTCCTCGGGGCTGTTTTGTGGCCTCTTTAGGCCTCGTTTGGGCCTCCTGGGTGCCTCTTGGGGGCCTCCTGGGGCCTCTTGGGGGCTCCTTGGGGCCTCCTGGGGCACTCTTCAAGCGGGAGGGTCGAATTTTGGAGTCGTGGTCCCCCTCTTGGGCGCATCTTGGGGCCGTCTTGGGGCTCTGTTGGGCTGTCTTGGGCGACTCTGGGGCCGTCTTGGGGCCCTCTTGGGCCGTCTTGGGGCGCTCTTGGGGGCCTATTGAGCCGTCTTGGAACGTCGGACAGCCGAAAAGGCTGGAAGGCCAAAATCGTTCGAAAACCTTCGTAAAATTGACGATTTCGGCCTCTTGAAGCGCTCTGGAGAGGCGTCTTGAAGCGTCGTGGAGTGCCTTGGGGGGCCTCTCGGGCCGTCTTGGGCCTATCTTGGGCGTCCTGGAGCGGTCTTTCGGCGACTCGGGGCCCGCTTGGGCCGTCTTGGGAGCCTCTGGAGGCCCTCCTGGACTATTTTGGACCTCCCCGGCCGCCCCGTCCTCCCATGGGGGGTCGGAGGCGGCGGCCTCCGAGGCCCAGGACGCGGAAACCCTTTAAAAACACAGGGAAATGAGCCCCGGTGCCCCCATGGAGGGTCGAGGCAGCTGTTTTCGGGGGCCGGGCCTGCTCCCCTGGGATATATATATATATATATATATATATATATATATATATATATATATATTCACCTGCCCAACGGGCCAGAGGCGTGCTAAGATCACCGGTAACTGGTTAACAATATTTCTAGCTCGCGCGCGCGGGGCGGCCCCTGGGGGTCCCCGGACGAAAAGTACCCCAGCAAGGTCCTGGGCAGATCCTGGGCGGTCCCACTCAGAGATGGTTTTCCTCCTGGGGGCCGCCCTCGAGGCCCTCCAAAGAGCCCCAAGAAGGGCCGCCAGGCCGCCAAGAGCCCCCCAAGATGGTTCAAGAGTGCTCCGAGATGACATACGCTCGCTTCAAGACGCCCAAGATGGCACCCAGGCACCGCAACAAGCCCCCAAAAGGCGTCCCAAGAGGGCCCCAAGAGACAAAAATCGTCCAATACCTGGAGCTAAACGTATATGTTTAGCATATTCGCCACTTGAGCTTTCACAACGTCAAGAGCGGCTTCCTCCTTCCTCCTCGGGAGGCACCGCCAGGGGGGGTCCTGCGCAGATCCGAGAAACCCACGCGCACTTCCGAAAGTTTACGCACGCGCATGCCGACGCTCGCTCTTCGGATCCCACGGCAGTCCCCGTCCCCCGCAGGAGCGGGCACGAACGAGAGGGCTCTCCGCATGCCCCGCCCCCCTCCCCTCCCAATGGTCTCCCCGCGAGGCCCCCTCCCTCGCGCGGCCTCCACGCTGCTGCCCTGCCCCCTCCCATCCCTCCACCCCATCCCTCCGCGTGCCCCCCCCCCCCCCCCATCCCTCCACCCCTCCACGCCCCCCCCCCCTCACCCCCTCCCTTCCCTCCCGGGACAGACACGGAGGACGAGAAGAGGGAGGAGTGGAAGGCGGAGGAGGGGGAGGAGGTGGAGAAGGGGGAGGAAGGGGGGAGAGGGAGCGGGAGAAGGCGGAGGAGGGGGAGGGAGGGAGGGAGAGAGGGAGGGAAGGTTGGGGAAGCGGGGAGGAGGGAAGGGGGGACGGAGGAAGGGGAGGAGGGGAAGAATGAGAAGGGAGGAGTGGAGAAGGAGGAAGGGAGTGGAGGAGGGGAGAGGGAGGGAGGAAGGAGGGAAGGAGGAGGAGGCGGCGGAAGAGGAGGAGGCGGGAAGGAGGAGAAGGAGGAGGAGGAGCGCGGAGGAGAGGAGGGCCCGTCCTTGGGGCACCTCGACAGGAACGGGATCGAGGCTAGCGCTGGCACGGCCACCTGACCCAAGAGCAGGGGGTGGGAAGAGGGGCAGCAGCAGCAGCAGCAGCAGCAGCAGCGGTCGTCGTCGTGGGAAGAGGGGCAGCAGCAGCAGCAGCAGCAGCAGCAGCGGTCGTCGTCGTCGTCGTCGTCGTCGTCGTCGTCGTCGTCGTCGTCGTCGTCGTCAGCGCCAGCGTCAGCATCAGCATCAGCATCAGCGTCAGCGTCCGCGCAGGCGCCAGCAGAAGGAGCAAGAAGAGCCCGCGATCCATAGAGTCCAGACATCCGACGTCATGAGCCTGTCAATGCTGGCGGTTGCTTGCTCCATGTCGACCCCCAGGGGGGCCCTTGTCGGGCCCTGGGACCATCAAACCAGATCATTAGGGGGCTACCCCTGGGAAAGAGTCGAGACCTCGGGGGACCGCGGAGCGAAAACAAACAACAAAAACATCGTCGGGTGTCTTGGAAGGCACCTGGGCCCGGAGGGCGTGCACACCATGCCGGAGCCCAGGATGGTCCTGGTGGCGATGCGCAGGTTCCTTCGGCGGGGATCAGGGCGAGTCCAAGAGGTAGAGGACATCGAACTTTTCTTTCTGGATAATTCCGATCGAAGTCCAACATACAATGCGACGATATCTCGCACGGCTTCCGAACAACAAGTGAAGTCGGATTTACTGGAGGCGCCACTGCGCTACTCAGTGGCGAAGCCCTGATCAGATGAAAATGCTTACGCAGGGACTCCTCATGAAGGGTCAAGCGTCAGCGACTACGAAAACGACGACCCGATTCCTTCGAAACACAAATCCCCAGACCTCCCGACCGCTCCGCCTGAGTCGCTGCTCTAGAAGTCCCAGAGACCACAAACTACCCTTGGGGGGCGAGACTGGCAAAAATTGATATGGCTCGATTTCTTCGAGTCTCCAAAAGGTCTGGAGACGGCCACGCTCGCGCAGAGAGCAGTAAAGCTCGCCTTGTCACCTGCGCGTGCACACAACCCCCTCGCTCCCCCCCTTCCATATGCGTGCTGCTGCTGACTGGCTATGTCGATCTTACTTGTGGAGCTACTCCGTGCCCTCGTCTCAGTCGCCCTGATCCTCTACGTTACTGTTACTCCAGCTCCTGCGCCTGCTCCTCCTCTTTCTCCTCGTCCTCCTCCGCATCCTCCTCCTGCTCCTTCTCCTCCTGCTCCTTCTCCTCCTGCTCCTACTCCTCCTACTCCTCCTCCTCCACTCGATGCTCATCCTAGTCCTCGCCATTGCATCACATTCCGTATACTCCTCCGCATCCTTCTCCTCTTGTTCCTCCTCATCCTCCTCCTTCGCATGATCCTCTCTACACCTCCTCACCATCCTAGCCAGAGTCTTCTACAATGGATGTGTTGCTCTTCTTGTCCTCCTCTTCATCCTCCTCCTCCTCCTCCGCTTCCTCCTCCTCCTCCTCCTCCTGTTTCTTCCTCCTCCGCCTCCGCCTCCACATCCTCTTCTCCTCCGCGACCCTCTGCTCCATCCCCTGCTATTCTGATTAAATTACAAAGGCCCCCCTGCTAGCGACCTCCTGGAGCCACTTGAATCTGCTAGACTCGATATCCGCGTGTGTTTTCTCCTGGAAACAAGCAGGAGTTGGAAGGTAGCGGGGGAGAAGAGTATGAGGGGGAGGGAGAGAAGGAGGAGGAGGAGCAGCAGCAGCAGCGGCTGCAACACGAAAGTATGCTTTGTGCAATCAAGGACTAGATCTTGACGGCCAAATGCTTAATCGAAGGCATTCTGAAGGGCGTCGCAGATCCAATGCAGTCTCGCCACAGCTCTGGGACAGGCAAGGCGGACAAGACTCTGCTTACTTGTACGCGCAATGACATGTAATAGATGCTGCTGATGATGCTGCTGCAACTGCGGCCGCTACCGTTTGGCGTTATTTTCCGACGAAGAACGGGTTGCTGGTTGGCGTTACTGCTGCCATATCAACGAGTTCGGGGCCTCGCGCACAAAAGTTTGGCCATGTGTAAACATGTACTACCTCTGTCAGTGGGGCAACTCTGCTGTGGAGTCGATGCTCGACGAATCCTCGCAACAGCCAGGGAAGTGCGAGCGGCACCTCGGGTCAACTCCACAGCGGCGAGTCTGAACCTCCGGGTCCTCCTCAGAGGCCCCGGCATGTGACAGATGCTCCAGGAAAGCCCCGACCTGGGCATGCGGCGCCTCAACTACTTTCGACGCGCGGGCCCCTGGACCTATCGAACCCTCCCCGAGCCGTGTTGTGGCGGTCCCAAGGCGCTGGACGCCTGGAGAAGGGGCTGCACGACCTCAGCACGAGAACATCCAAGCGGAACCACGAGGAACGCCAGCCGGCGCAGGCCTCGCACCACTTTCTCATCGAAGCCCATTGAAAAAAGAACCCCTGAGTCAAAGCCTAATTGGGAAAAACTAAGCACACGAACTCAAACTCGAACTCTGATGGCCTCAAAGCAGACTAGGCGGCGCAAGAGGTGAGCAGAAAAACGGAACACTGGAAAAGCCCGCAAGGGCAACGGCATCAGTACTGAGGTGATGGCAGGGAAGTACACGGTCGTTCCTCCATCACACCCCGCCGATATCCTCATTACATCCCCTTTCCTCCCATCTAAAGGCCAGTGCGTGCAGCACGGCATCGCGGCAACGCAAACACATGTGGAACAGGGCCAATATAAAGATGCCCCTCCTCCTCCTCCTCCTCCTCCTCCTCCTCCTCCTCCTCCTCCTCCTCATCCTCATCCTCATCCTCATCCTCCTCCTCCTCATCCTCATCCTCATCCTCATCCTCATCCTCATCCTCATCCTCATCCTCATCCTCATCCTTCTCCTCCTCCTCATCCTCCTCATCCTCCTCCTCCTCCGCCTCCCCTGCCGGGCCTTGGGGGAGCTCCCCTCGCCGCCACGGCTGGACACGACTCGGCAAACCGGCTGGGATGGTGATCCCACGAATGGCTCTGGGGACGCACGCTCAGTGGATTCTGGCTGCGGGGAGGACAAAGGTAGGAAGGCACCAACTATACACCAACACCGATCCTGGCCAGGATCACCCTGGGCCCAGGATCGGTGTATACGCCCTCCTGCCTTGCGCAAGAAGGCATATACACCGATCCTGGGCCCAGGGTGATCCTGGGCCAGGATCGGTGTTGGTGTATAGTTGGTGCCCTCCGAAAAGGGGAGCGATCAAATTGCAGCAGGAAGCCAGCCACACGAGACGCCTGCACCCATCCTGGCCAGCCCGATCCTGGGGCCGTCTCCGATGCACGTGTGTTTCCCTCGTGGCAACGGCAGCGGAAGCATATGAATACACCGAGCCTGTGTGCAGGATCTCTCTGTGGTATAGCTCACGTCGTCCGAAAGGGAGGGGAGGAACCCAGGGACCTCTGACGCCGAATTGTTCAACGACTCGGGCCCCCAATATCTCGACCCCACCGTGCAGGACTAAAATTTCGTCGCAAGTCGATGTCCGCAAGCCCCGGTATCCGAGAATCTCCCATGGAACTGCCGAAATCGCAAAAACAACTGCCCACCGCGCTTTTGGGTTCGGTGGCAGTGGATATGCGAAAGGCACCCGTGCAGCTACCACCATGCCTGGCCTGGGCCGACATGATCTATATGCCCTCCTGGCTCCTGGCCGAAGCCAAACGGGTCCATACACCATTGCGTGGAACAGGATGGCCCAGACCAAGCATGCAAGCATGGTGGTCTACAAATGCCCTCTGCGAACTCGACGCCGAATGGCAGCCGTGATGTTCTACGGCACCGGAGATCTAAGCAGGCAAGGCCAGGCGGGGCTGCAGGCATCCTTCGAATCCTGGAACCCCAGCGGGCCTTTCAGAGATCTGAAATGCAGGAGTAGGGTTCACATGTGAGCGACGAAAAAATCTTACGCAAGATGGCATAGCGACCTTACGCAGCGGCTTACGCGACCGCCAGGGCGGCACGCTTCGCTGGAAAAGAAGGCGCTCACGCGCGACCTGACGCGGGCAGCTTACGCGCGGTGAAGGCGACCCCCTTTTCTTGCGTCGCCCACGTGGCTGCCTGGGGGCGGAGCCAGAGAGGCCGGGCCACAGGTAGTCCTGCCCCTCGACGTACTGCGCCAGCGGCTCCCACGTCGACGGGTGCCTGTCCAGGGCCTCGCGCACGGAGTCCCCCGCGAACCGTGCGCAGCAGGCGATGCCGTCCTGGAGCCGGGCGGCGGGGCATGAGACGGGAGAGCGCCAACGACACACCTGCGCTGGTCCCAGAGGGGCGTGGCCAGGGGCACGTGCTCGGACGGCGGGACGATCCCCGGCCGAGGAGAAGCCCCTTTCTAGGGGGGGGGCCCTGCAGAGGGGGACCCACTCTGAGATGCATTTGAAAAAAATGCTCAGCCTCGGAGGAAGGCGAGCCCGAGCCCGAGCGCAGCCCGAGAAGCGAGCACCGAGCACCGAGCTCGAGCCCGAGCCCAAGCCCGAGCTCGAGCTCCGAAGCCCGAGCCTGCTGGAGCCCGAGCCCGAGCCAGAGCTCTTCGGGCCCTGGAGCCACTGGACAACGGCCCTCGACGAGGAGCCAAAGGAGCCAAAATGGCCAAAGAGGCGGAGGGCCAAATGGGCCACATGGCATCATAGAGGCCACGGCGGCCATACAGGCCACGGGCCAAGGGAACCACCCTACAGAGGCCGCAGAACGCACGATAGACACACTCACCAAAAGAGCCGCGAGGGCATGAATAAACCCACAAGACATTGCCACCGAAGTGGCACGGGAACCACAATGAGCACCAAAGGCCGCAAGCACTGCGGGAATCACGAGGTGGCACGGGCTTTGGGGCCACAACAAGTCACGACACCACACGGGCACGGGCCACGCGCACCACGCAAGCAACAATGGCCGCAAGCACTACGGGGATGACGGGGACCATGAGGGCCATAGGCACTACAAGCGCCCCCCCCCAAAAAAAAACATATGCCACCAATCCATCACAAAGACCACAAAGGCCACTATGAAGGCATGCACTACTGCGCGGTTTCGTTTTCGTTCGTTTCTCTTTAGCACTGCCGCTTGCCTTACTGGGCGATTGAAACTAAATCGCTGTGCAAAGTATGCTGTGACACTGCGACGAGTTCATGACGACCACGGGGGCCTTCACCTGAGTCTGGAATGATGTATACCTCCACCGAGTTACTCAAAATTTGGATCGAAATGCTGGCACTAGGCGTCGAGAAAGGGTGGGGAGAGGCAAAGAAAGTCTAAAATGCAATCAACCGTCCGTGGTGGGATACTTGCAGAAATAATCCAGGGCCGCATCAAACGCTAAAGCTTCTGCCTCAAATACTAAGCAACTGCTCGTAACATCCCCCCTAATCAGCGAGAGCCATTCGCAATAGACCCCACATTCTTCAACGCACCGGTCATCATAACTCAAGCGTTCCGCGCCGAAATACCCCGCACGACCACATCATGGACCCCGTGGGGTTCGTGGAACAAGCGCCTTCGGATTCAGGTCGACTGTCCAGGAGTCGCCGGACGCCAGCGAGCGTTCGCCATCACGACCGCCAGAAATACAGCCTGTGTCATGAAGATCTGACTGGGGAGCCAGTGGGCACTGCGGGGGCGGGGCGATTGCAGCAGTAGCGCACACGAAGACGAACGCGCAGGCCACGAAAAACCAAAGGTCCTAACGCCCATGCACAGGGCCACCCACATAAACCACAGAGGCCACGGGCGCCACGGAGGCCACGAGGCCCTCAAAAGCATGCAAAATCCAAAAAGACTCGGGAAACACAAGGAAATGTCACTGGATGGCGATACGGAATCAAGATTACACTACAAGGATCGCTCATTCGAGTAATGCTGCGAGTAACCAACCCACAAAGGCTGGGGGGGAACAAGCAGAACACACAGGACGCATGGAACATATGAAACAATTATCCAGGCGAAGGACCCAACCATATGCGGTTGTGAGTACCGTCGTTGCGGGTATCGCCTTCGGGGGATCTCCTCATGGGGCCATGAAGCATGCGAAAGGTGTGCCGATGTAGGGCGGGCCACCATGTGGGCGCTGCCACTGGCGCTTGAGGCGGAACGCACTACGGGGCCGCGAAAAGTATGACGGGTGCGCCGCAGTGGGGCAGGGCCGCCACTGGGGCCTTCGATGGAGCTTCGTACGGGGCAACGAAACACTGTAACGGGCGGGGGAAACGCATGCGAGTAGAGCCACCGGGACCTTCGGTACAGCTCCCCTTCAGAGCCCCCCCTGCTCCTTTTCCTTCTTCTCCTCCTCCTCCTCCTGCTGCTGCTGCCTGCTGCCTATCCTCCTCCTCCAGGGCATGGAAGGCGAGGAGCCCCTAAGCCAACTGCCCGAGGCGGCGCCGCCTCGACACGAATCACGAGCCCCCCGTGCGAGAAAGCGGGTCCCATCGAATCGACTAGGTCACCCAGCTTCGCAGAGGGGCCAAAGGCCCCTCTGCGAAAACGCCAATACAGGATCCTCGGGATAGAACCACGAGTAAAGACTAGCGAGACACCCTCAGCGCAGAGCTTTTTTAGGAAGGACTCATCTGAATAAGGAACCCGTAGTCAGGAGTCCTTAGTACATATTCAAAAAAAGGATGAGAACGGGAGCTTGTATTTCTTACATTTGATTATTATTGTTGTTATGTTTATGTAATTTTCTTTTTTCTATACTTTATAATATGTTCATGGCTTGGTTTGATCATGTTCGTTTATTTTATCGCTGTGAACGTTTTCTTGCTAACACAACAAAAACCGAGTTTGCCTCTGTAGCGGTCCTAGCGGATACATATGTGTAAATGACCTACGTCGTCGATTTCGGTGGCCGGGCCCGGGTGCCCGGGTGACCAGGTGCTCGGGGGTGCCCGGAGGTGCCCGGAAGCGCCCGGGGGTGCCCGGGGGCGCCCGGGTGTCCAGGCGCTCTATCGCCCTATAGCCCTATAGCCCCTATTGCCGTATCGCCCTATAGCCCTATAGCCATATGGCCCAGTCGCCCTATAGCCCATATAGCCCTATAGCCCTATATCCCAATAGCGCTATAGCCCTATAGCCCTATAGACCTATAGCCGTATAGCCCTATAGCCCTGTAGCTCATATAGCCCTATTGCCCTATAGCCCCGTAGCCCATACAGCCCTATAGCCCTATAGCCCTATAGCCCTATAGCCCATTTAGCCCTATAGCTCTGTAGCCCTCATGGCCTTCATTGCCCTCGCAGACTTCATCAACGTAATGGGCACTTACAAGGGGATCTCACGCAATATCAAAGAACAATCTGATTGGGCCTTTTCCCGGTATCACTATTTCCTGATTTCTGCCACTATTTATGTTCAACTTATTTGCTAACTTGTTTTGTTGGTTATCAACCCCTGGAAAGCGTGACCACGTGACCTCACCAAGCGTCATCTTAAAAACGAACGGCGCGGCGTCTCTCCGAAAGCCGCAAGAGGGCTGCACCTGCGACCTCCACAGCCCTGCTCAGCAGGCGTGGGAGGGGCCGCAGGGGAAGGAATGATGAGGGCCTGGCTGGCTCTCTCCAGCAGCGCAGCGGAGAAACCGAGGAGGCGGCGAGACGAGGGGGGAAGGAAAGAGGAGGGAGGAGGGAGCAAGCAGACGACGACGAGGGCGGAAGAAGGAGGAGAAAGAGCGGGAAGAGCCGAACGCGCAAAACCCAACAGACGCCCCGGCTGCAATCTACACAGCACACAGAATGAAACACATGATCAGGCGCATCAAAAGCCGGCCCCTCGAGGCGACGGCGGCGACGGAAAGGAGAGCGGGGAGGGGGGGGGAAAGGAAGGCGGAAGAAAACGGAAGAAGCAGGAAGGACCAAAACCGAGGACACACCGGTGGATGACACCCAAAATTCCCACGCCACGTCTTGTGCTGAAAATGCGCAAGGTTGAAGTGCATCAACGAGTCGATCTCACGAGTCGGGTCTGCATGGCATCAAGAGGAGAAAACACCGATGAAGACGCGCGATACACAGCCCTCGCACGATGCTCCATAAACGACAACACGCGCGCCGTGAACTATCCTACAAGCTCAGCGTCGCTCTGGAAGCGTTTCGCGCGAAGCTGCACACGCGCCAGGACGCATCAGACACGCATTGTTCCACAACTCCAGACATAATGAGCTTAAGATCGGAAAGAACGCCTGGGATCTTAAAACTATTGCCACAAGGTCGTGTCCTACAGAAGATATGCGAGCTCTCTTTTGCGGAATCTAACCACACCTGATTTGCCTCGCCTCATGCGCGTAGAGAAGGCTGACAACTCTGCGCAAGCGCATGAGTGTCGCCATCGGCAACATCGCTCGCAACGGCCCTCCAGGCGTTCAGATCATCTGCATAAAGCACTCATTCGAAGCCCTCTGCACGCATAGCAAAGTAAGAATCCAAAACAAAATGCTCCAAAGAGGAGGCCCGCAAAAAAGTCCCCGGCAGCACGCCGCGCCGCACATGGGAAAAAGATCGGACATCTGACCTCCAACAACCACGCGAGCAGACCGAGAACGAAGCCAGCTGGAGATGAAATCAACGAACAGTCTCTGCCCTCCGCAAGACCAGAGCTTCTCGCACAGGCCCTCTGCTTTGACGCGATCAGAGGCACCTGCGACATCAGAACAGTAAAGAGGCACCCTGTGACCGCGAGAGAAGGCAAGGAGCCACGAAAATACCAGAAAAAAGAATAGCACCACGGGCCCCGCGTTCTCGACGATAAGCGAACCGACGCGGTCCATGCGCACCTATCCACTCCAGCAAGGGAAGAAAGAAACCACCGATAGCTCGTTCGACAACCGAAGGCTGCGGGGCCAGGTGCTGCCCTCGATGATTGTCGGGGAACTAGCGCTCCGCTCGCGCAGAGGAAACCGCCAGCGCTCGCACCAAAAGGCAGGCCAACGAGCCTGAGACACGATAAATCCGGTAATAGACACGCAGGCAAGGCAAGCCCCCACGCGCACATCTGGAAGACGCGCGCAGGAAGAAGGTCAGGTCCAGCGCCACTATCATCTCGCATAGACAATAAAAATTCACGAACACAGCGCACACGGAGGCCCTGAAACCCGCCCGGCTCTCGCGCCGCAATGGCGAGCAATAACTCCGAGAACTCGTTTTGCAGAGGCTCGGGAAGGTTGAACTTGTCGGCGAAACACGAAGCAAGAAGTTCTGCTCTCTCCGAGTAGGACAAC